ATTTTGCTCGTCTTTGGCTCACGGTCGGGACGGCTGTGCCTGGCACAGCCCGGGCCCGTTGTCGTCGTGCTCCCTCGCCTCCCGCGCGAACAGTCCGGGGTCCCAGGCCTCTTCGGTCCCGTCACCGGCCGCCCCCACCCACGCGCGCACGTTGAACCACCTCGTGACGCCCACCGCGACCGGGAACATCACACAGTTCGGCTGGCCCAGAGGCGTCCGGCGGAAGAGCTACAGCGGCGCCGGCGCCGGCGCCGGCTGCAGCAGCTACGGCGACGGAAACGGCAGTAGGCCGAACGCAACCGCCGCTGGAGGAACCCCAATGCGCGCGTCGGCGGGTGGAGGTAGCTTCGACGAAGTCGAGTCAGGGAGCAACAGCTTTAATATGCATCGCGGCGGCGGCGGCGGCGGGAGGCGATCGAGGTGGGGTGCTCCGGGCCCTTTCCTGGGCGGTTGGACACGCACGGCGTCACCGGCTCCGCAACGCCAGCACCAGCGTCACGACAGCCTGCCGTCTAACCTCCACATCGACGTCGACCACATCAACTACGGCGGTGGATCACGGAGTAATCTCGGGTGTCGAAGGCCGAGCGGCGATGGGACGGAGAGTGGGGAGTGGTCGGCACGCGCGGGAGGAGCGGAGGGGGGAACTTTGTCCTCCTGCGAACTGCCGTCGGCTCCTGGCATGTGAGCTTCGGCTTCTCTTATATGCTCGTGTCGGATGTTTTGTGTGTAGGGCTCTTGTTTTTGGCGTTACAACGGTCTTCGCGCGTGCGATGTTTCGGTTGTGGGCGTTGGCATGCTTCGTTGGTTTCCCGCGAAGAGGGGTGGGGTGCGAGCGTTGTGTACGCAAGCGCGAAGGGAGGGAGGGGCGTTCACGACGAAGCCGTACGTACGTCTGTCGCGCCGCGCCGGTGTGTTGTGGTGTAGTATGATTTGGCATGTGTGGTGCTTGCTGGATGGAATGTGTGCGTTCACCCTGACCGACTGCTCTAGTTGAGAAAAAACAGTGGACATGTATTGTAGTCAACCCCTCTGAAAGAGTCGGGAACAAAGCGGTGGAGGATATCAACAGGCAGCACGGGCACTGCCAACAGCAACAACAGCGAAAACACTCGTTGCTGGCGTCCCCCAGCGTCCGCGGGACGCTGGAGGCCCCCCCCCCCCCCCCCCCCCCCC